GGGCATCTTCATGTTCAAGTTCCAGCTTCATTATTTGCTAGCTGTGTGGCCCTGGGCAAGTTACAAACCGTCTCCACAACTTAGTTTCCTCATCTGTAAAATGGTCCTCCCATCTCCTGGGCTGGCTGTGTGGATAGTAAAAGAGCTGCAGAGCCGGGCACACAGTGAGCCCTCAGCAGGGTCAGCTCTGGCCATTCTCTAGCCCCCTTGTGTGCAGCCCTCTGCAGAGGTGTGTCCCCTGAGCCAGCAGCAGCATGGGCAGCTCGGAGCTCTCTCAGGCCCACCTACACTTTGGGTATCAGAATACACATTTTAAAAAGATCCAGTGATTTTTTTTTGCACTTTGCAGTTTGGGAAGCACTGATGTGTGTCTTCTGAAGAGCAGCATCGGTAGCTGTGTGTGCCTCTTCAGTTGCAAAGAATTTTCTCTTACTGTGCCTTTCCATACTGTGCCCATCATGTTCTGGCTGCAGAGGCACCTGGGACAAGTCCCAGATAATCATCATCTTCATCAAAACCCTTGTATCCTGAGCTTGTGCTGCTTGGGCCTTGGAGAATTCAAGTGCCCCAGATGGCGCTCCTAACAGAGAGGTGGAGTCAAGGTGGGTGCTTTGCAGGTGGAGCAGCTTAGTTCCTGCAGTGAAGGATGTGCTGGTCGGTGATATATGTGCTGCAGGCAGCCCGGAGTTTGATCACCAGGTGGGTGTCAGGGCAACTGTACGGGGGCAGAATCACTGTCCTTCCTGTTGTTTTGGTGAGACTGTTGTTTCTGAAATGGTTTCTGAACTACGAGGCCTAATTCCTCTTAACATTCTTTTTTTTTTTTTAAGACAGAATCTTGCTCTGTCACCCAGGCTGGAGTGCAGTGGCACCCAGATTGTGCAGTGGCACAATCTCGGCTCACTGCAAACTCTGCCCCCTGGGTTCAAGCAATTCTCCTGCCTCAGCCTCCTGAGTAGCTGGAATTACAGGCACGTGCCACCATGCTAGGCTAATTTTGTATCTTTAGTAGAGACAGGGTTTCACCATATTGGCCAGGTTGATCTCAAACTCCTGACCTCGTGATCCGCGTCAGGGATTTAAGAGCAAGAATCCTACTTGCTCACGGTCGTGGGAGAGAATGAGAGGATAAGTGGGAAGCACTGTCTGCTTGCCGACCAGGCTTGGCGTGCCTTAGCCTCTGAGAGGATGGTTGTCCCCACCTGAGGGGCAAGGAAGTGGAGGCTGAGGGAGGTGACCTGGTCAGTGGGGGACTCAGCACTCACCACCATGCCCTGCTATCAGGTGCATCCGGATGAAAGCTACAGCTCCAAATTGTGCATGCATGATTTCTTTACTTTGGAGCTGTGTGTCCCAGGGGATAGTCAGTCAATATCCACAGGAAACACAGTCTAGGTGGGGAAACCTTGGGTGCCCAGGACATGACAACACCAGGTGGTCCTGGAGCACAGTGCTGCCAGATCTGGCTGTAGGGTGACTTTGGTTCAGAGTGTGTATGTCTGACCAGAGAGAGAGGAAGGACTGGGCCAGGCCAGCAGGGTGATGGCAGCTGAGGGAGCTTCCCAGAGGAGGTGGGATTTGAACTAGGTCACAGGACCTTGCTGTCACATTCCTTGTGGGAGCTTCGGTCTCTAGGGATGAGGTGCTCAGAGCCCGTTTGCTCTGCTGTGTGAGACTCTGAGAAGAGGAAGTCTCCATTTGTTTTCATCGTGGGCTCCTTAGCCCCCTTTGACAGCATTCATAGTTTCCCATCCTCTGGGGGACCATGTCATGGTGCCCATCAGGTCTGTGGGGCTGTCTGGTCCAGGCACCGGGAAGCAGGAGCTCTCGGGAGGGGGAAGATGTGGCCATCTGCTCGTGTAGGCCACACTTCTGGGAGAAGGCCTGCTCTGGTTGAGTCTCTGGGGTGCCCAAGGTGCTGGGCAGAGTCCCAGTCAGTCCTGCTCTTGACTGGGCTGCAGAGGGAGGTAGGGCTGGAAGGGAGGTAGACGGGTGACGGTAACTGGGGTACAGAGGTCGGTCCTGGCCATTCTCCACTTCACTGTGCTCTTGATGATGGGAGAGCCTGAAACATATTCAGGGAAGCCTTTTCTTTTTCCTTTCTTGCTTCCTGGAAAAATAGGTACAAAGAGAAACCCAAATTCCCTGTCGGGGAGGGGTGGGCAGAACAGGAGAAGGGGAAGTGACCTTATAGGTTAGGGAGTTCCAAAAGGTCCTAGTGGCAGAGGACCTGAGCCTTGGCCTCCCACCTTCCTCTGAGGGCTGAGAGGCAGAGGACAGCGGCCCGTTCTGTGGCTCAGGAAGCTGAGATGAGATAGGAGTGGGAGCTTTCCCTTGTCTCTTTTTCCTATTACCACAGTAATATATGCTCCTTATAAAACCTTCAAATAGGACAAAAATAGGCAGTGTAGGAAGTGCTAGTTCCCTGCAGCCTCACCTCACTGCGCGGCCCCTAGGTAATTGTGTTGCTACTGTGGTGTGTGCAGTGTGAGCGGCTGGAGCCGAGGGTCCCAGCCTGTCTGCCCCAGCAAAGACTGGCCCTGCTTGCTGATCTAGTTACTCAGGGCTTGTGATTTGGGGCTAGAGTCCATACCCTTCTCTTTTGCCCCACTTCCCAGGACCTTCCTATGGTAGACAGGGACTAGTCCAGGTTTAGGGAAAGCCACTAGGGCTTGGTCTCTAAATAGGTAAAGGGTCAGGCTCTGGTTGGCCATTGGGCTGAGAACAACAAGGTGTAAGGCTGTTGATGCTGCGGCTGGTCTTTCTGTCAAACTTCCTCTCCTGCCCCACAGACACCCTTACACACACATCCTTCAGTCTGTCTGTCTTGCTTGGCCTTTCCTCCCCTCACTCCCTGCTTGTGCCTCAAGAGAGAGGCATACACACCCTAGGACATGGCCCTCTGCCTGCCCTGCCCGTGGCACCGTCTGTCCCTACCCGGCCTTCTCAGGGGATCGTCTGTCAGGTTTGAGAAGGAAAACCAACAGCCTTGGCTTAGCCTGCTCAGGCCTTGGAGTGGGTCTCCAAGGAGCGGGGACAGGCCAGCCATAGCCCACTAGGGTTTCATCATGATGGATTCTTCTATAGGGATGGTAGTCCGAGGGGCCCAGGAAGCCTTTTCTTTTTTTTTAAACTTCAACATTAAATAAAAAATAATCAAAATACTACCATCAGTACCACCAAGCTTTTGCAGTGACTTAATTCTGGATCTTTGGATGTATAGGGACTTTTTACACAAAGGTTCCCCATGCCCCACCCTGTGTCCACCAGAAGCTCAGGGAGCTGGCACTGTGGGGTTGGCAGAGGTGTCCCCTGCACCATTGACTGGGTGGCTGTGTATGTGTGTGCGCATGCATGCTGTGCAGTGTCTTATTAACATCTTGCATTAGTGTGGCACGTTGTATTTGAAAGCCAACATCAATATATCATTGTTAACTAGGGTCTATATATTACATTAAGTTCACTCGTTCGTTGTATTGTGCATTCTGTGGGTGTATAACAATGTGCTCATCGGTATGGTAGCATGCAGGATAGTTTTTCTCTCCTGAAAAGTCCCTGTGCTCTGCCTATTCATCCCTCTGTCCTCCCTTCAATCCCCCAGCAACCACTGACCTTTTCACCGTTTCCATAGTTTTGCTTTTTGCAGAATGTCAAATAGTTGTGTCATGCAAGCATGAAGGCTTTTCGGATTGTCTTCTTTCACTTATGTATGTAAGACCCATCCCTGTCTGTTCATGGCTTGATGGCCTATTTCTTCTTATCATTAAGTAGTATTCTGTTGTCTGGATGTACCACAGTTTGCTTATCTGTTCACCTACCGGAGGACACCTTGGCAGCTTCCAAGTTTTGGCAGTCATGAACAGAGTTGCTATAAACATTTGTGTGCAGGTTTTTCTGTGGATGTAAGTTTTCACCTCAGTAGTCTAAGTACCAAGAAGGGTGATTGCTCCTTGTATGGAAATAGTTTGCTTAGTTCTCTAAGAAACTGACAACCCCTGCACAAGAACATCCCTCCCCAGTAGGGCAGGCCCCAGCCACCCTGTGCAGTGGCCATGTGTATTGGGGGCTGTCTCTGTGTCTTTCTGGGCACAGTGGGTGTGCACTGGGAAGAACTTAGGCTTTGGGGAGCTGGATGCCTGGCTCTGAGTCTCCACTGTCCTTTACCGACCACCTGTTTTTGGATGGGTTCCTTTACCTCTGAGCCTCCCCCTCCTGATCTGTACAATGGGGTAGTGCCTCTTACCTCACACACTTCTTGGGAGGTGTATGTGGGAGTAAAAACCCTCACGCTGGTTGTAACTCACTGTAGATGCTCAGCAGGTGTGAGTGCTCTTTGTCTTTCCTGGGTTTCTTTCTGCCATTCTTGCCTGCTCCTCCATCTTGTAGAGGTATTCCTGACAGGGCTTGGGATGAGTCGGTGTGTGTGTGAGTGTGTGTGTGTGTGTGCACATGTGTATGTATGTGAGTATGTGCACTAGCATTCCTGTGTTCCTGGCCCTGGGCCTCTGGGTGAGCTGTTCTTTCCTGCGTTCACTGGTGCCTGGGAGTAGAGCTTTGGCTGGGACTGGCCAGAGGAGATGATGTCAACAGGGAGAAATGTGGGTAGGTCTGTCTGTGCTGGAGCATGGAGATGGGAGGGGAGGGCCCTCACAAGCCCAGCCTTGCCCCTCTGGGCCTCTGAGTTTCACATATAGGGGATATGGGGGATGGGAGGGGTCTCTCAGCTCCAGGAGAAGGTCCTGGAGGGGTCATGGCATGGTAACTGCCGCCCTACCTGGTGGCATCCCAGGAGCTTCCCCATTCAGGATGTGGTTTTCTCCATCATGGAGACATTTTGGATAGTTTCTCAGCTGCATCTGAGGCCTGGAAGCCCAGGCCTATGGGGAGAGGCTGTCAGTGACCCTCAGAGCAAGGGTGGGTCCGGGTGGTGTCTGGTACTGGGTGGGAGTGAGGCTCCCTGGGCCCGTGACTGAGCTCTGCCTGCTCCCTTCCTCTTACAGGTGGTACAAGCTGCACTCCAAGGCAGGCAAGAAGGAGAAGGAACGCGGTGAGATCGAAGTCACCATCCAGTTCACACGCAACAACCTGAGTGCCAGCATGTTTGACCTGTCCATGAAGGACAAGCCAAGGTCCCCCTTCAGCAAGATCAAGGACAAGATGAAGGGCAAGAAGAAGTATGATCTGGAATCTGCCTCTGCCATCCTCCCAAGCAGCGCCATAGAGGATCCTGACCTGGGCAGCCTGGGCAAGATGGGCAAAGCCAAAGGCTTCTTCCTCCGCAACAAGCTGCGCAAGTCGTCCCTGACCCAGTCCAACACCTCTCTGGGCTCGGACAGCACCCTGTCCTCAGCCAGTGGGAGTCTGGCCTACCAGGGGCCTGGCGCCGAGCTCCTCACCCGCTCACCAAGCCGCAGCAGCTGGCTGTCCACTGAAGGGGGTGAGTAAGCACAGGCCACCACCCTGGGGAGCAGGGTGCTGGCTCTCCCCTTGGGTGATGGTGAAGACCTGGGGCCGTGAAATGGGGCTTCTCTTCCTGGGAGCTAACTGGGTGGGTTTCCTCTACAGGCAGGGAGTCTGCACAGTCCCCCAAGCTGTTCACCCACAAGAGGACCTACAGTGACGAGGCCAGCCAGATGCGCGCGGCTCCTCCTCGGGCCCTTCTCGACCTTCAGGGCCACCTAGATGCTGCCTCCCGCTCTTCGCTCTGTGTCAATGGGAGCCACATTTACAACGAGGAGCCCCAGGCCCCTGTGCGGCACCGCAGCTCCATATCGGGCTCATTTCCATCCTCTGGCTCCTTGCAAGCTGTCTCTTTCCGGGCCTCTGAGGAGGGGCCTCGTTCCGCAGATGACTCCTGGGCCAGAGGCAGTCGTAGCAACAGCAGCTCAGAGGCAGTGCTTGGACAGGAGGAGCCGAGTGCTCAGGCCAAAGTCCTGGCCCTTGGGGCCAGCCGCCCTGGAGAGGAGGCGGGGGCCCAGCTGCCAGAGGGCAAGCCCATCCAGGTCGCCACACCCATAGTGGCCTCCTCTGAGGCTGTGGCAGAGAAGGAAGGATCCCGGAAGGAGGAACGCAAACCTCGGATGGGCCTCTTCCACCACCACCACCAGGGCCTAAGTCGGAGCGAGTTGGGGCGCCGAAGCTCTCTGGGGGAGAAGGGGGGTCCTGCCCTAGGGGCCTCCCCACATCACTCGTCCAGTGGGGAAGAAAAGGCCAAGAGTAGCTGGTTTGGCTTGAGAGAAGCCAAGGAACCAACTCAGAAACCCAGGTATGTCCTTGGCAAGACCAGCTTTGCTCCTTGGGGAGGATGCTGGGGTGTGTGCTGCCTGGACCCTGGGGCAGGGAGGAAGGAGCAGATGTGAACCTCAGGCAGGCTGCTGGGGCTCTGGCTTTGCATGGTTAAGTGGGGGTGTCTCCCTAAGCCAAGGTTCGTTCTGTGTGCACGGACACAGGTGAGTTACCAGGGCACAGTGCTCTGAGAATTCTGTGGATTGAGAGGTCCAACTTCTCAGCCCTAGGCCTTGCTGCATGAGTTGGCACGCCCACCCCCTGAGCTGGAGGGAAGCAGGGAAAGGCCATTTGTGTGAAGTCTTTGCTTCCTGACCTCTTGCCCTCTGGCTTCAAGGTAAGGAAGCCGTGGCAGTAGAGAGATGAGAACTGGAGACTGCACCCTCAGACTTCCCTCCCTCTCTGGAGCTAGATGACCTCTCCCCAGCTGTCTCTGATCACTTCTCTCTGGGAGATGGGAGACAAATAACCGAGGCTTCTACCCCTTCCGCCGTACATTCACCCCCAGTTGCTTCCCAGCCTGGCAAGAGGCTGTGGGCAGCTCCCATGAAATTTCTAACCCATCTCTGTCCTTGGAGATGCTGGGGGCTCTGGCCCTCTCTGGTGTCTCTTGGTCTTGAGGTTTGGCACTGTGGGAAGTGCTGGCAATAGCTGCTCCATTTTGAATGTACTGAGTCCCCCAGTTCGGGTCCTGGGCAGAGCCCCCGGCCCCCACCCTTTGCTTCCTCTTAACTCTGAGCCAGGGGAGGCTGCAGAATTGTATAGCAGGGTCCAGGGAAGGACTCCAGGCACATGTCACAGAAGCTTGTGTCCCACCTTCCCAAGGGCTTGGGGCCAGCCGCTGATGGGCAACATCTGTGGCAGCCCTGGCCAGTGTGGCGAGGGCCACTGTTTCTCAGCAAGCCTGCCCTTCCCGCTCCATGGCTGTGTGGACAGGTTTAGAGGACAAGCACAGTAGCGAGGGGGCAAAAGTAAGTAGTGAGGGGGCAGAGGAAGGACCCTAAACCTATTGCCCAGAGGGGAGAGAAATCTTGTAGTCCTGGCTTTTCCTTTCCAGTCTGCTGAGAGGAGTGGAGGGAGACATGCAGCTCTTTCTAGGTTTGGGCCATGATAAGCTGGCAACCCCTGTTAGACCCTTATAGATAGGGGGATGGGGGTAAATCAGTTTCAGGGGCATGCTACCCCCTGCCTCCCCTGCCTGGTACAGCAGCCCCTGTCCCTCTGCCCAGCCCATACTCACCAGAGCCCAGGCGAGCTCCTGGCCATCTGCGGGGGAAGATTGGGAAGAAGGGGACAGGTCTTTCCCAGGTGCCAGGCTGAGCCTGGTGGCCCTGTGACAGCCAGCCAGTGATATTTGGAAGTGGTAGGTAGGGTAGAGGGAGCTGGCAGGAGACCTGGACAGGATATTTGCTGGGAGGAGCTGAGGGCCTGGATTGAAAGGGTCACAGACCATATAGGCTCAGTGTGGTTGTCTGTATGGTGTCTCTGGGCCTTTTCTGGGTCAGGGCAAATGCTATGGCCATTTGCAGGTGAGTGCCCAGGCTTTGGGCTTGGACTCCTGCAGGCCTGACTGTGAGTCTGTTGGGTTTTCACTGGCCTGGGGAACGTAGAGTCTCCATCCTCTTTCTCCTGCTTCCCCACGTCTCCTAATGGTCTCGGAGTCTGGTGGATTTGGGTCACTGATGGCCATAAGGAAGCTGAGGTTTCTGTCCTGCTCTCACTTGAATTCTGAGCCTTATCTTTAGCAGGATGGAGGGCACTCAGCATCCCTCCCCAGATAGGGTCCATTTGCAGGCCACAGCTGCAGGGCCAGGCTCTGTGGCCGTGCATTCAGATGGGGCGGGAGGAGCTGTCAGACCTGACACCTGGCCTTTGAGCTCAGTCAGCAACATCCCTGGCCTCGTGTGCCTTGCAGGGAGGGGAAGAGTGGCCTGGAAGAAAGAACTGTTGGCGCTTCCCCAGAGGGCTTGCTTAGGGCTTCTGAGGAGAGGCAAGGTGGGCTGCCTCATGGCAGGAAACTGTGGGTTAGACCCAGAACTGGAGTGACTGAATGCAGCTGCAAGATCTCCAGCTGGGGACTGGGGAGCCTGTCCCCAGGTCTAGAGACTGGGGGCCTCTGCCCTGGGGCTATGGTTGCAGATTGCAGGATGTTCCTCACTGGCAAGAACAGCGGCGCCCTCTAGTGCTCCCGTGTGGCACTGATGCCCCACAGAGAGGCCTGAGGCTGAACATATTGAGCGCAGTAGCCAGAGAAAGGCTGCTGCCACTGGGAAGGAATGAACGAGGCTATGCAGGGCGGAGAAGAGGCTCCCGCTGTTCCTCTGACCTGGCCTTCGTCTGCTGGGGCCCATGGTGGTCACACTAGGCCCCTACCAGTGTATGCTGGAGCAGGTAGTAGGTAGTTGAGACCAAGCTTGTTTCAGCCACAGGACTTAGTCTCACTCCCCACCCTGTTATGAGCCATTCACGGTGAGCTGCATTGCAGGCTACTTCGTTTGTGTTTGAGGACAGGCAAGACCTCGCATGTGAAACCCGTCAGGGCCAAAGCAGATTGTCTTTGTGTCTATCCCAGGTCGTGCTGTGTTCCCCTGATCCCTGCCCCCAACACTAACTGTAGGACTCTATGCACAGAAGGGGATCAAATGTGGATTACAAAAACTTTTAAATTTAGAAATAAGTGTGGTCCAAAGAGGTACGTGTATCATTATGGTGGCCTCTGGCAATCTCTGCAGTGCCTCCCCGCACCAGGTGTGGTAGGCAGCAAGGTCCCTGTGGGCCTGGAATGTGCCGTGGCAGCGGAAGGAGCTTGGCTGCATTCTTGGTGGTGTAAATGAATAACTCTCATGTGCGCCCAGTGGCTTGGAGTTAGTGCAGCCTCACGTCCTGCTTGTGCCTGTTCTCCTGGCATGGTTACTGTATTAACAGTGTTCTGGTTTGGAAGATAAATGATACGCTTTCACTACTTACAGCCTACAAGGCCCCTCTGTCACCTCATGGTGCCCAGGTGATGGGAGAGGATGTCTCTTGGACATGTTTTCTGGACATTGGGCCCATCTCAGGAGGGTCAGGAGGTCATGCCTCAGGAGGAAAGGCTGAAGGCATGTTGCTGGAGGTGGGCGTGCCTCCAAGGCTGGCTTTGGCCTTTGGGGGATTGCCTGGTAGAGAGCCTGTGCAGATCCACTTCCATCTCTGGGACCAGTGTGTGGAAGAGACACACTGAGGAAGAGGAAGCCTAAGGAATTGCTGTCCACTAGTGATACCTGGCCTTCAGCTACAGAGGTAGCCCTGCAGAGGCAGAGTGTTTAAGAAAAGGGGCTGTCAGGGTGAACAGGTGGTTCCTGTGTTGAATGGCAGGCTTAACCAATTGTTCAAAGCTTCCTGCAGGCAGTAAAGTTTTATTCCCTTAGGTTGAGCGAGGACAGACATCTGGACTTCTGACTTCCTTCCCAGCATTTGGTCCTAAAAGAGAACACAAGTCAGCATATGTTGCTGCCCCAACCACTTGGGGGTGGGGAGACTGTGCCAGGCCAGCACAGTAGGTTCTAGGATGCAAAGGTGTTTGTTTGTTCTCAGAGCACAGCCTGCAAAGACAAGTGCACGTGGGAATATGTCCCTGACCTGGGCCAGGTGGAGTGGGAGGGAGATGCTTTGAAGTGAGAACCTTCAGAATGCGCACTTGCTGTGGAGCAAGGGAGAGGAAGGCATGAAGAAGGGATGTGTTACTGGCTAGGCAGGTGGACAAGATGCTCTCAGAAGTGCTGCTGGCTCAGTAAAGCCTGCCAGGCCCAGTGCTTGGAGTCCCTTCCTCCAGGGAGAGCCCTTTGCTGATTCTATGCCAACAGGTTTGTGTGTACCTCTGGGGAGCTGGTGGGGAGAAGGGAGGTTGTCAAGCCTAACCTGGGGCTCCCAGTCTACTCCCCTGCCGCTCTTGTTCCTGCAGTTCTGACTGCCAGCCAGATTGCTGAAAGATTGCAAGGGTGGGTGCAGGCCAGGCCAGGGCTGAGGAGGCAGAGCTAAGCTTGGTGCTTTTAATGTTGATGGGGCTCTCTTCCTCAACGGGGGCTGGGGAGAGAAGTAGCTCAACGTGCTCTAGCCCTATTGCTGGGGGCCCTGGTCCTATAGGCAGGGTTGGGCTGAGTGCAGTGTGGATGCTGTAATGACGAGTGGGCTGAGGTCAGGCTCTTGATCTGCTGGTGGTGTATGTTGCTTCTCACTCCCCTTGGTCTCCAAGGCTGGCATGTGTGCCTTGGCCTGGGGCTTGTCTGGAATGAAGGGAGAAAGGACATCTGCTGGGGTTGAGGCTCTGGGCCCATGATTCTTCCTCTTTTGGTATCTTCACCGTGTCCGTAGAGGCAGAGTAGTAGTGGGAAGCCCAGGTGGCGTGGGAACAAGTGAGAATTTTTAACTCTTTCCCTTCAACTCTAGGTGGAGGGGATGAGACTGAGAATTTACCATTGGGTGGGGAGTTATTGTAAGGGGAAAAATAGGGTCAGGAAGCTCATTCTTATGAGAAATCCATGGGTTTGGGACCCAGCTGTGTTCTGCCCATGAGGCTGACCTCCCAGCTCCCAGAACCATCTTTGGAGCCACCTGTGATGTTTGGCTGGATTCCTTCCTGTGGTCTGCCCCTGGCGGTAGCTGCCGAGCTGACCTGCCTCAGCCCAGCTGTGTGTGGGCCTGCCTTCTTCGGGCCCTGGGTTCCCAGGAGAATCTGGGCAAGCTCTAGACAGCTCATCCTCTTTCCACAGGTGCCCTTCCTACCCCAAGCCACACTCCTTATGGGCTGGCTGGCCGAGCCTGGCTTCTGCCCCTTCAGGACTTACTGCCCGTATTTCCTATGGAAGAAGCTGATTGGTTTGAAAAGACGGATGTGTAGGAGTTTCCCCAGGATATTTCCCCCTGGACAGGCAGGAGCCAAGGAATGGGGGTTCTGGAAGCTTAGAGCCAGAGCTGGGAGACCAGCCATGAGGAGGGAGACTGCCCAGAAAGCGGAGAGTGAGGCCACTGAGGTCTGCCTCTGACAGGTGGCTCAGTGGCAAGGCAGCCTTCTGTCTGTGTCCTGGGGAAGTGAGAAGCGGTAGTTTGAGAGCACACCCCTGCCCGAATCTCTAGAGTTGGCTGCACTCTGTAGATAAGCACCAGTGCAGGGAGTGTTCCTCCCAGAAAGGACCCTGCCCTGGACACTTGAAGGCCAGCACCTGTTCTCCAGTGTCCTAAGAGGACCTGCCCTGTCCCCATCCCCAGAGTCCCTGAGAAGCCCCTGGTGACATCTAGAGTTGCTGCTGCTACATTGCCAACCTTGGGAGACACTGGACCGTCAGGGCACCTGTTGATTGGTGTTCTCCACAGGTGGCTTATCTTCATTAGTCAGTTAGGCTGCCCTTCTAAATGAGACATCTTTTCACACCTGATGACAGCCTGTCATTACTTCCTGCTTCTGCAGGTGATCAATAGAACCCAATCTGTTTCAAATATCAGAATTCCAGGTGCCCTGCGAGGTGCTATAAGTGCTAGCTTTGTCCAGATACCTAGGCCTGGCCTTTCTCTGATCTCTTTATCCCCCCGATGCCAGCTGGTGTTTCCTTTGCTCTTAGTCCTAAAAGGTGCCAGGCATGGTGGCTCATGTTTGTAATCCCAGCACTTTGGGAGGCCGAGGTGGGCATATCATGAGGTCAGGAGTTCGAGACCAGTCTGGCCAACATGGTGAAACCTTGTCTCTCCTAAAAATACAAAAATTATCCAGGCGTGGTGGCACACACTAATGGCTTGAGCCCAGGAGACAGTAGTTTCGGTGAGCCGAGATCGTGCAACTGCACTCTACCCTACCCTGAGTGAGAGACAGACTATCTTAAAAAAAAAAAAAAAAAGGTGTAAGGCACTTTCGATTAGTTTTGGATTAGTTTTCCTAGATGTAAATTCATTGTTGAGTAGAACCTTAGAAGCTTCAGCATGGGACAGAGGGAAGAACACTTGGTTTAGGTTTGGATCCTGCCTGTCAAATGGGATGATTTCCTTCTGGGGTTGGAGTGAGGATTAAAATAGCTCTGCCCAGCATCTTTCTCCTTGAGAGGCACTCAGTAATGTTACATGTTGGGGTCTTCCCTGTGTCCCCTGGCCCAAGTAGGTAAATCCAGCCCATGTGTGTGTTGTGGCCCCTGGTCCCGAGGCGGGGGTGGGGCATGGGACTCAGGGGCCTTTCCAGTCTTGGCATTAACCAGGAGGCTCACGGTTTTGTCTCCCTCCACAGCCTGGACGTGTCTCCTCAGGTAGAATCTGACCCAGCTGCTCTTCCTCACCACCTCCCCTGCTCCCCTGGGGCTCTGGCCCCCCCCACTCCTGCTCCCACTGCTGCTCCCATGCTAAGCACTAACCTTTTTGCAGCCGCCTCCCCCGCTGCTGCCACTGCCGCTGCCACCACCACCGCCGCCCCTGAAGCCACCCCACCTGGATTCTTGGGTCTCACCAACCCGTTCCTCACCTCTTTGCAGAGCAACCCCTTCTTCGAGGAGCTCATAGCCGACATAGCACTAAACTCTCCTTCACCTGCTCCCTCTCTCCCCAGTGCCTCGAGGGCCAGCCCCACCCCCCTGGCCTCCCCTGGGAAAGCCCTGCCTGAGTGGGACAACACCTTCAACGTCTTTGCTGCCAGCAGGCTGCGTCCAGAGGCCAGGAGCAAGATCCTGGCCCCTGCAGGAGTGGGGCTGGAGGCGGCAGGGCTGCAAGACCCAGGCCCTGTTGCCATGACTGTGAAGGCAGCCGAGCCCAAGGGAGAGCCTGGGGGAGGAGGAGGAAGAGGTGGGAGCAGCGTGTGGCTGGAGCCCAGGGTTCCTCTGGACTTAGGACTGGACCACCAGAGCACGAGTGCAGCTGACCTGGGGCCTGTCGGGTCTGTAGGGACTGGTGTGCCTGACTCGTCAGCTCAGCTACAGCTGAGAGCCTCAGCCTCAGAACCAGACAGGGAGCTGCCAGCCCTGGAAGGGGAAGAAGGGCAGAGTCCGGCAGACAGTGGGACATCTCTGTTTAGCTCCCCAGAAGTGATCAGTGTGTGGGAGAGGCTGCCGGGCCCAGACAGTGCTGCTGAGGGCCAGGATGATCAGGCCTCCCGAGGCGAAAACCAGCTTTGCCCTGACGTTGAGACAGCTGATGATGCCTGGCCTTGGGATGTGGTCACCATTTCTCCTGCAGCTGAGATGGCCTCACTCGTCTTGCCTGGAGAGTCTGATGAGCCTCTGCCCCAGGTGCAGCCTGAATCGCCAGAAACTGTGAGCCCCCAGGGGAGCGAGGGGCTTCCCCTGCTGGAGCCTGAGCCTACACCTGAGTGGGTGTCTGATGAGGGGCTGCAGCCCAGCACCCCACCTCCCAAGCCACCGCGCCTCTTCACACCCTCAAGATCCCAGGAGGAGGAGAAGGCCACAGCAGGGCTGAGTAACAGGGGGTCAGAGACAGAGGGAGAAGATGCCTCCTCAAGTGCACTGGCTGTCAGTCCCCCAGAGACAAAGGAGGAGGGAGAGAAGCCCGAGTCCGAGGAGTCTGACAGCCACTCCTCCGCAACCCTGCTGGACGAGCCTGGCCTGGAAGAGCTAGTGGAGGATGCTAGCCCTGTTGTGTCTGGGTCCTGCCTATCTGTGCCCACCAGCTGTCCTGAGGGTCCTGCCCTCATACCATGTCACTCAAAGAGCTTGGCTCTTCAGAGTCAGCAGGGGTCTCTAGAGACTGGAGAAGGCCCTGAGAATCCTGAGGCCCAGGGCCAGGGCCCAGTAAGAGAGGGGCTTGGGTCCCCATCAGTTACCTCGCAGCAGGCTGATGTGTGGGTCTCCAAGGAAGATGCCTTGAACCCCTTCTTGTTTCAGGGGAGCCGAGATCCTCCCAGCCTCTCATCTGCATCCCCACCAGGGTCCAGGGAGTCTTCTATTCATTCTGGCCCAGAAGAGCTGCCCACTCCCCCAGAGCCTGACTTTCCACCGCCCCCTCTCCCGCCTTGGGCCAGCCACCACTGTGGGGGACCCAGCCCTCCGTGCTCTCCCCTGTCTGGAGCCTGGCCCCCGACCTCATCCTCCTCACCACCGGGGGAGCCAGCCTCACTCCCTGGCCCCCTTGAGCCCTCCCCACCTGGGGGCTCCCCTGCCCCACTTGGGGAGGACCTCGCTGCAGCCACCCCAGCCTCCCCGCTTGTGCTTCTGCCCTTGGAGACACGACCAGCTGAGGAGCCGCAGCCCAGTGCCAGGTGAGCATCCACCCCTGAGAACACTGTCTAGGAGGAAGAGGGTGGACAGGGGGCAGAACAGCCCAAGGGACTGAGGGTTCACACTCCAGCCTCACCCTTTGTAGGGGCAGGTGAGGGTCTCTTTTACTCCAGGGGTGAGACGGTACAGGCTTTGAAGACATGAGCTTTCTGTGGTACCACCTCTGAAGCTGCCTTCTTGGGACCTGGAATAATCAAGGCAGACCCCCACAAGCCAGGGGTTTGGAAAACAGAACTGATGAGGTGCAGGCATAAGGAATGAAGTGAGGCGAGCCGATGTGGCCTGGCAGGGAAGGACAGCTGTGCTGTGGGCCTTTCCGGAGCGGGTGCGCTTGGCCACAGGGGAGCTGTGGGCGGGGGGCAGTGGAGCTTGTCAAGTAGGGGGCAGTTCTTGGGGCAGACCGTGGGAGAGCAGGCTGGCAGTGGATCCTGGAGCAGTTTCCGGTTCAGCTAGAGTGAGGGTGCAGGCTGAGGAAGGCAGAGAGCCAGAAGGGGGACCAGCACTTAGGTCAGAAAAGAAAGCTGGAGACAAATTCAGAGGAAAAAAAGGAAAAACTAAAACACTTCCACGTATGTAACTGTCAGAAGAAAGGTTTTCCACCCTCAGCAGTTGCTTCGTTGGTTTGCATTTGGTGCCTTTCAGGGGGTGGTTCCGATGCACTTAGGACTGCTGAGTGGACAGCAGATGCCTGTGTGACTGTACTCACTGTGGCACTGGTATGTTTGGAAGAATTATGAAGCTGTGACCTCACCAGGTAGCTGGTGAGGGGTGATGTGAGCAGAGTGGAGACTCAGGGCACTGGGAGGTGAGGGGTGTGACTTAGAGGGCAGCAAGTCCCTCTGGGATGGTAGTGCTCTAGGAGGACCAAGTGAAGGAGGGGAGAGCAGGACAGGCTCCAGCACTGGCCTCCCAACCAGGCACTCATGTTTCATCATCCACATTCACTGAGCATCTTACTATGTGTCAGACACTGAGCAGATGAAAGACACAGTCCCCACTCTATTCCCAAGGAATGTCCAGTCCACTGGGGCAGATAGAGTGGACCCAAGAAGGGAAGAAGCCCCAGGGGGCCAGCATTACATATGGGGACTTGGTAGGTGGGAGTCCAGGCTGCCCCCAGCATCCCTCCCTGGTGGTGGTGGTGGTGACTCTGCTCCCTTGAGCTGAGGGAGAGGACGTGGGGGAGCTGGTGGTTACAGTGTCCTTGGCTGGCCCTGCTGTCTGCCAGTATGACCTCTATTCATATTTGCCACTTTTTATAAGTTTTATTCTTCCCAGAGTTGGCTTCATGTCTGTATTGGGCTTGTTCCTTCTATCATGAAGTGGATAGGCCAAATAGAGCTGTGTCTCATTCCTCAAAGGAGGAAAGAGAGGCCATGAACGCTGCAGGGTTTAGGATCCCGGATCCCTCTGATGTAGGGGGCAAACAAGCCAAGCCAAGGCCTCCGGGTCCCTCATTCAATGCACTTTTATGCTATACTGGTCATCCTCCCCTTCCCTGGCACAGCCCATAGGTGGCATTAGAGCTGCTTTTACACCCCATCCCTAGCACAGACTCCTAGGTGGCAGGAAAGGATTGAGATGCATTCTTTTTCTCTACTGTCTGCCCAGAGCCTGGGTGCTCTGCCGCTCTTCCCGATTTGTGAGAATGAATGCATAGACCTAGTCTGAGAGTCTCTGGGTCTGGGTGACCCTTCAGTGGAGTTCAGGGCCTTGGACTAAGCCATTTTGCTTTCTATTCCTGAATGGTCTAAATCCTCTGTGAAGTAAGCATAGATTTGTAAGAAGGTCCCCCTGGACAGGATAGTTGATTTGGGGGCCTGATGCCGTTTATGTTACAGTTTATGTAACTGTCACAGGGTGCTGGAGGATCCCAGAAGAGGGTTATCTCAGTCTGGAGGAATCAGGAAGGCTTCCTGGAGGAAGTGGACTTGCACAACTGTGAAACATGAGTAGGAATTAGCCAATGGGTGGAAGAGACAGTGTTGTTCCATACAGAAGACTAGCTTTTGTAAGAGCTTGATAAGAATGTGGCTGAGGGAGTAGCAGACCATGAAAAAAGGGCAGGGGCCATATTGTGTTAGAGATAGCATTTTCTTACCTTGATAGAAGCCATTAAAGGATTCTCAAGCTTTGGAAAAGCTGAGCCCACTATCCTGCAGCAGAATGGTTGGAGGGGGGGCAAGACTGAGATGGAGCAGCTGATTTAGTGGCTGTGGCTGGAAGAAAGGTTTAAGCAGTGGCCTAGAGAGGAGCAGGGTGGCTTGAGAAGGCAGGAAGATAGCAGGGCTTGATTGTTAAGGTTGAGGCTGAAGAGGATGAGCCAGAGGGACTCCCAGGCTTCTGACTTTCTGACCTGAGCCAGGGGAGGCCAGAGGTGCTCCTTACTGCTGGGGCAGCACAGAGGAGGTGGCAGGGAGTAGGATGCACCTGACTGTGCAGGTCTAGGGTTCAGGGGGTGTGGTCTGGGCTAGAGATGGAGATTAGGGGGTTGAAGGAGCAAGGGAGGAGGAGAAGAGAGAACCCAAGGGCAGACTAGCAGTTGTTAAGACTGAGAAGGGGCTGTGGGGTCAGAAGACAAGATGGAGGTCTTGAAGGGAAGGGGAGGCAAGCAGCCTAAAGGAAGGAGTGGTCCAAGTGTTGACTCCACAGAGGTCAGTGAGGTGAAAACCAGCAGGGCTTGGTGACCTCAGCAAGTCCACTTGTGGTGGGCTGGTAGGGACTGACGTCCTGTTCTAATGGGTTAAGGAATCAATAAAAGTTAAGAAGTTAGACAAATGTAGTCTCCATGCTGTGGAGAGGCTTGGGTGAGAAAAAAGGGGAAGGTGACTGGGAGTGATAGCTAGAGCAAATACAAGGTCAAGGGAAGGTTTTGCAGAGCTGTGGAAACGCCGATAGGAAGCAACCCATAAAGAGAGCTGGGTGACCAAGTGTCCCAGTTTGCCCAGGTTTTAGCACTCAGAGTCTGATGTCCTGGGAATCCTCACAGTCCTGGGAAAACTGAGAACTTGGGAGGGTTGGTCACCACAGTAGAGAAAGGTTACAGTATAGAAGAGGATGGAGGGAAGATGGCTAGAGGAGGGCATCACTGACAGAGGCTGGGTGCAGGTGCAGAGGAGGCTGTATGGCCTCTGCTGTCCCCGTAAAGGGGCCAGATCACCAGGTGAATAAGGGAGTCAAATGGGAAGGGAGCAGATGGTGGGGCGGGGATTGAGGCCAGCCCAGGGGGTTGCTGGACATGGGTTGCAGTATAGCCCAGGAGTACTGGACACGGCTGCCTGAGACCTTGACTCTGTAGGGGCAGCCACCACCCAGCAGACCTGGAGGCTCCCAAGTGAAGGCAGCCCCACCTTTGACCCGTGCCACCCTTTTCTCCGCGTAACCCATCTCTTGTACGTCTTTGCAGTCCCCACCCTGTGAAGCCCCTCAGTGCCACTGCTGTGGAGGGCAGCCCCGAAAGGAAGCAGTCACGCTCCAGTTTGAGCACAGCCCTGAGTAGTGGGCTGGAGAAGCTCAAAACAGTCACATCTGGGAGCATTCAGCCTGCGACCCAGGCCCCCCAGGCTGGCCAGACGGTGGACAACAAGAGGCTGAAGGTAAGGCCCGGCAGGGTGTTGGGGGCAGCTGACAGAATGTGTGGTGGAGTCTCAGGGCTTGGTCCTGGGGAGGGTGGGGCAGCGAGTAGCCCAGGTCCCCCACACCGGAGTCCTGAAGCCAGTTAGGCCATCTGTGGCATTGGAGACAGGCAGCCCAGGGCCCTGTGGTGGTGAAACTTAGGTGTTAGTGGGCAGGTGGGTGGGCAGACAGGCAGGTAGGCCTGGAGCTGCCCTGCTCACTGTCTTCGGTCTGGCCACAGGACTCAGCTGTGCTGGACCAGTCGGCCAAGTACTATCACCTGACCCATGATGAGCTCATCAGCCTGCTCCTGCAGCGGGAGCGGGAGCTGAGCCAGCGGGACGAGCATGTGCAGGAGCTGGAGAGCTACATTGACCGGCTTTTGGTGCGGATTATGGAGACCTCACCCACGCTGCTGCAGATCCCCCCAGACCCCCCCAAATAGCCTTCCTCACCCCACCCCAGGAGGGTTGGCGTGGACCTGCTGCCGCCTGCCCTCCCTCCTGCTGAACTCTGACCTGCAGCGGGGCATCATCTGTCCCGCCTCATCACTCCTTGCCCCCCTCTCTCCTGCCTCGACTGGGGCTGCTGGAAGTGGGGCGCTCTGGATTCCCTCTGGAGGCATCAGGTTCTGTGCACAACTTGCTTGTCTTTGGGAGCCCTGAGTCTTTCCCACCTGCCTATTTTGGAACTCTTCCCCCCAAGACAGAGCAGGGGTAAGCTGTAGCTTGATGCGGTATCTGGGACAAGACTGGTTGCTAGCACATACTTTATTACACCACAAGGATAGTCAGCCATTTCTGCCCACAGCCAACCCCCATCCCCTTCATTTTCCTCCAGTCTCTGGAGGGGCTTCTAGTATTACTGGGACAAGGACCTTGCTGCCTATTTGTGAGTTATGGGCAACCAGGGTGCCTGCTCTTCAGCCTCAGACCCATTCCCCTGAGTGCAAGGAGCCTGTGTGATCTGGACCAGTCTCTGCTATGTCCCGAGTCTGTTTCAGTCTCAAGCTGTCTGTCGGGCGAGTGCCATGTAGACAGAGGTAGATGATGTGTGTTCTTTAGGCTGCTCCCTACCCCCTCTGACCTTCCACAGGTGTCACATGGGAATGTGTGGGGTGCAGGGGTGGGTGCAGGAAGAGCTCCTCCTTGCTTTTTGAGCTCTTGCCCACCTCCAACATGTAGGCCCCTCCAGTCTGGGGCTTGGGGCTGCTTTTGTTTTGGGGAATCAAGCTTCCATGTCTATTCTTGTTGCCTGTCCAGATGCCAAAACTCTGTGTTGCTGCAGGGTTTGAACTTTTGGAAACCAATTAAAATGTGCCTTTTGTGGGCAGGGTCAAGAGCCCCTGGATGTCGACCTCTCCCGCTGTGTGGCGTCCCCCTCCCACCTGTTGAATACATACGGATGGCTCTCTCAGGGCCCTGAGAATGAGAATGGGTGGCCCTGCTGTGTGCTCTTCCCCTCTCCTAGAGTTAATCTCTTGGTCTGGCCAAGTTACTGCTCACTCAACCTTCCTGCCATCTTCCCATCCCTCAACCCCAATAGGAGGATCCCAGGATAAAAACTACTGCTGGGCAAGTGGACAGGCAGGCCTAGGGCTGCCCTGCTGACTCTCTCATTTTGTCTGGCCTCAGAACTTAGCCATGCGAGACCAGTCAGCTTGCCTGTAAGTGGGAGGTCCCACTATACCTTTGGGAGACACCTGTACTTAGGAAAAAGCCTCTGTTGCCCTCCCATCCATCCACTAAGCTGCTGTCCCAGCCTGTCCTTCTGTCCCACGACCTTGCCTGGCTTGGCTGCAGTGCACTTTGAAATGAAGTGTCTGTCCTTTGGCCCTGCCCCTAGTTTGCTTGTAGAAAATATGGCAGGCTTCCCCAAGGCATCTGTAAGGAAACTTTGCGGCTTGGGCCATCCTGAATTAGCAAAAATGGGGGGTGATGAGGTACTGAAGGAGGTTACTTATGGCCTAGTGAGGAGGCAAGAGCTCCTCTGCGACCACCGCTTCTTCAGGAGAGGGCCAGTGGGCTTGCTTGGAAGGCCTTGGATAGACACGAGCCCTGTGGGTGATGTCTGTCTGCCGCGAGGATGAAGCAGAGGAGCGTCACACATGGAGGAAAGCCCCTGTAATGTTACCTACCTTAAACTCCACTCGTCAGAGCTGAGAAAAGTGTCCACTAGTCCCCAGGGCTTCAGTCATGCTTTTTGGGGGTCATTGGGCATTAGAGAAGTAAGTATCTTTTCTGAGCGAGGGGGAGTCACCCTCCTACTGGGTATTCATCTGGGCTTTATTCAGTCCCATCCCTGGCCCTGACCTTTGACTGTGGGCCTCCCTAATGCCCAGGGCATGGGTCTTCAGAGGAGTTTTTGAATCGAAGCCCAGCGTCCTTGTTGATGTTTCTTTTAGCCACACTTGGAGGAGAGTGGGCAGGGAGCAGGCATGGTTCTGCTTTGCTGTTTGTCTTCCTAGTTGTAACTCCTGTTTATAAAGAGCTTGTTCTTCATGTTTTAAGCACTTTATGAAGAATAAAACATTCATGTACTGCAGGTGGCTCTTGTGTTCCTGTTTTGGAAAGAACAGGTACAGGAAGCTGCTGTGGGAGAAGGCACCTTAAATCCAGGTGATGGGATTCTTGGATGACACTGTCTTTGACCTGACATCAGGGGGCGCAGCACAGTGTTGCCCAGTAGCCTGAACTCACTCCCAGGATACCCACATTTATTGGGCACTTTAAGATGGGCCCATTTATTGGTAATACAGAGGGTAAGAAATAGATTCCTATTCTCAAGTTGCATGGTCTAACGGGGGAATATAAGACAGAAATCTAAGATACAAATTGTTCTTCATAGCTAGCTAGAATCTCCCTCCAGGTTTATGAAAACTGTTTCTTGCGGTTCAACTACTGGAGGATGAAAAACTTTGCTACAGCTCATGCAGTGTCCAGAAACACTGGCAGACATGAGCCAACTCTGCACGTTACCATGAGACTGAGACCCAAAGTAGGGTTCCCCAGAGTCAAGACCAAATATTTCTACCGTCATCTTGAGTAAAACAGGCATCTCCCCAACTCCCCCAGCCTGGGCCACTGATCAGGTAATTCAGCTGGGAATATTCAGTTAATCCATTCTGCAACTGTGTGTGTTTTATTATCCATGCTGGTGCTTACTCCACAATCTGTAGTACTCCCCCTTACCTAACGCACTCCCCCTTACCTAACGCCCTCCCCACCCACCAGTCCCAAGTTCTCCTGCCGAGGAATTAGGCCCAGAGGGATCTTCCTTGGTTTGCCAGAGAAGGTGAAGGCTGCCAGGGCCCTTAAGTCCCCACTTATGAACTCACAGCCAACACATATTTGAGTCTGTACTGTGAGCCCTCTTGTCTGGTTCTGAAGACTTAAGTGAATTATAAAATCACAGTTCCTGCCCTGTGAACCTTACAGTAAGGAAAGACTGTCTAAAACAGTAAGTAATCGTGAATGCAAAAGGTAAGTGCTGGGTGCCACGGAACCTGTAAGGGATTTTGTGGAAGCAGAGTGATGGACTGGGAAATACAATGTTTAGGCTGAAGCCAGAAAGAGCCAGCATCAGGTGAAGATTTAGTCTTCTGGGTACAGAATGTTTAGGGGTCCGAGGGGGAGGGGCAGGCCCCAGCATGCTCCGGGAACTGAGTGTTAGGGCCACCGGAGAGCACAGGCGAGTAGGCAGGGTGGCGACGGAGGAAACTAAGAGAAGGTTCCAGAGTGCAACTCCCTGCAGAAAGCCTTCTGAGGTTAACCCTACTCCACCTGGAGTCTTTGCCCATCTGGTCCCAGGTCGGGCCCGCTCGAATGGGACTCTATTGGGCTGCCTGGCCTCGGGAGCGACGGCCACGGCAGCAACTTTAACTTCTGGGGGCAGGTAAGCAGCGAGGGGTGGCCCGTGGTCCCCTGTTGGGATCTCAGCGTCGACAGGAACACCATTTCTGGGCTGCCGACCTTGCACCTTGCAATGCGGGCGGCGGGCACCGAGACCTCTTCGTTCGGCTGCAACTCCGCAGTCTAGGGTTGTAAGCGCCATGACGCGAAAAACTACACTCCCCACAACCCCTTGCGCATCTCTCGCTGCGGTTGCTTAGGGCCAATCGGGAGAGGCAGCTGTGGCGGGGGCCGAGGAGGGACATTTTAAAAGGGCCGGAGATTGCGGGCGTCAGTGGCCATGGCGGATACAGCGACTACAGCACCAGTGGCAGCAGCTAGTGCCGCTAGCGCCTCGAGCGATGCACCTCCTTTCCAACTGGGCAAACCTCGCTTCCAGCAGGTGAGGACAAGGCCGTGGTCTGCGGGCCAGCGGGTGGCAGAGACAGGGCCAGCAAACTCCCCTCCAAAGTCCCCTTCAGCCCGATGGTCTCCCACCCGCAGCCAGCGGAGCCTGCAGCTAGCGCCTAGGGAGACCTCGGCCACAGCCACCCCATTCCTATTGGTCAGCGGAGCGGGCTCGGACTCCCACTGTGGCTTCCCATTGGCTCTTGGCGCCGTCATTCCCCGGCTGCCCGCGCCCTCTAGCCTTTCCCGCCCGCGGCGCCCGGTGATTGGCCGCCGCCGGCTGCGGTCAGGGTCCCGAGAGCCCCGCTCCGAGCGGCTGCTCAGGGTCTCTCCCCGCTGTGCAGCTACCCGCCCGGAGCGCAAAGTTCTAGTCCAGCCCTGGATGGGAAGTTGGCGTGGCCGGGATGCCTTCTAACTTTTTTCTCCGGTGGGGACTGACGTTCCTTTCGAGCTGCTGGCGGAGCCGCCGGGCAGCGTCGCGCCCCGCGGTCATCCCCCAGCCCTGGCCCCCAAGCCGGGCCCGGCGCGCGCGACGGGTTTGGGGGCGAGTGCCGAGGCGAGAGGGGGCCCGGCGACCCCCGTGCCCGCGCCCCCTCGCGGGCTGAGGATTTGCTGACGCAGCGAGCCGGCCGCTGCCCTGCGGGGATGCCGCCCGGGCGTGCAGGGGAAACGCTGTGTCATCCCCTGAGGCCGCCCTCCCTTCGAGGGGCTCGGGAGCCCCCCCACCCCCCGCTGCGTTCTCTGCAGAGGTCTCCCGCGCCTGGGCTCTCGCACCGCGGGGCACTGGCTCTAGGCAGACCCGCTAGTGCTCTGCGGGGCACGGCGACAGGGGTTCTTTCCTTCCGGGACCCCGCTGGGTCGTCGCCGACTAGGTCCCGGTCTGCGGAGGCGGAGGTGGAACTCCGAGTCCGGGCGGCTAGCTGGGCCCGGAGCCGGAGAGGGGCGGCTCCCTCGCCCCAGACCCTCGGGCTCGCGAGCCTCCCGCACCGAGGCGACGGTGTTTATTAGGAAACGGACAGAGAGACCGCTGAAGTGAACCGGGGATTGCCAGGGGTGGGCGGCAGCCGAAGCGGCCAGAAAAGAACTTTGCAGGAAGAAAGGAAATTGTGCAAAGGTCGGTGTGGTGGCTTTTTTTTTTTTTTTTTTTTTTTCAAATCGTGGTGGTTGAAGGGGGACAGGTTCCAGCAAAAGGGGGTCTCGAACTTCGCTGATAATTAGGGAACTTGGCTCCTGAGCCATCTGAAAAAAATGCCCCCAGTGTTTCTTAACAGGACTTTAATTCCTTTTAAAAGTAGGCCATCTCAGCATGTAGGTATCCAAGGCGAGATTGGCATCTTCCTTCCAGCGTAGGAGGCCATCTAAGGGTGAGATTGTTGGGGTGCACACCTCTTGGCCAGCACATGTCTTTCGCCCCCCCGAGTGGGATCCTCATAGCTCAGCGTTCAGTCTGCCCTATGGTCCTCTAAATGTTTGCTGTGTGACGACTTGGTTTCCTCAAACCCCCTGCAGGCCTCTTGCCAGAAGGGGTTGAACTTGCCCTTCTATGCCTCTGTCTTACGCTGATAGAGGCAGGTTAGGCATATAGTAATGTGCCAAGTAAAAGATTTGTGAGGTGTTTTTTTTTTTTCTCCAGGTGTCTGTTATCTGTATGTGGCACTTGGGACATTAAGTTACCCAACAGACATTTATCAAATATGTCTTAGTGACTTAGATGACTGAACCCTTTGCTGTGAGCACCGCTCTAGAGCTATAGATAAACATTTGAGGTTACCTTGTTCCTGCAGCCATTGGGGTACTTCTTTTTGGCATCGCTCTTGAAGGCAGTAAGAGTATTTGTTTTATCCACTTTTTTTTTTTTTTTGAGACGGAGTTTCGCTCTTGTTACCCAGGCTGGAGTGCAATGGCGCGATCTCGGCTCACCGCAACCTCTGCCTCCTGGGTTCAGGCAATTCTCCTGCCTCAGCCTCCTGAGTAGCTGGGATTATAGGCACGCACAACCATGCCCAGCTAATTTTTTGTATTTTTAGTAGAGACGGGGTTTCACCATGTTGACCAGGTTGGTCTCGATCTCTCGACCTCGTGATCCACCCGCCTCGGCCTCCCAAAGTGCTGGGATTACAGGCTTGAGCCACCGCGCCCGGCCGTTTTATCCACTTTTGAAGCTCCCTCGTCCATCCTAGTGACCGGCCTAAAGCACATTACATGTGATTCATCCATATTAAGGATCTTCTCTTTCCTCCACATCTGCTCCTCCCGCATGGCTCCCTGGCTCTGCAAGCAGCCCAACTTGCCACCCAATCAATGCAGTCAGAAACCAGGGAGCTGCCTGTCTTCTTTCCTTCTCCCTCACCCTCTAAATGGAACCAGAGACGCAGTGATCTTACCTCTTACACAGCTCTCAAGTCCACCCAGCTCTACTGCCGGAATCCTGGACCAAGCTCTCATCATCTGTTTCCTGGGCCACTGCTGTAGCCTTGCAACAGGTCTTCCTGCTTCCATTCTGGCCCTCTTCCAGCACCTCCTCCTTCTGCAAGGGAGTATCCCAACAATAGAGATCTGATCAAGGGACTCCCCACCCCCTTGCACATTTAAATACCCTCCAATGGCTTCCCCTGGTTTTGAGATAAAGACCTCACTTCTGAAGGGGCCCGGAAAGTGTGCAAGGCTCACCCCACTGACTACTTCCTTAAATCACACCCTCCACCCACCCACCCACACCATGCACCCTCCCTCACATCACACTGGCTGCTTTTCAGCCTCTGAACCCACCATGTTTCCTCCCACCACTGGGCCGTCTGCTTGAAACATCACCTCTTCCTCTGTCCCAACTCTTGTTCCCACTCTTCTTTATCCTTGGTGTATCCATGAAGCATCACTTTCTTGGAGAAGCCTCCTGCCACTCCCAGGTTGAATTTTTGACTGTTCCCTTACTGCAAGCACCTATCTCGGTGTATACATTGATTTGTGATGATTATTTCCTTGCCATTTGTGTCTCCCTTTCAACTATGGACTTGTAGAAGTGAGGGCTGTGCCTGTCTTCACTCCATGTTGACTCTCCCAAGGCTCAGCACAGTGCCTGGCAGTTAAGAGGTGCTTAATGAAAATTTGTTGTATATGTGAATATCTTGGAGACAGATCAGTAGGGCTTTGCAGACTTGAATTAAATTGACTTGTAAGATTGTGACTGGGGAGGTGGGCCAACTTTTTTTCCAAATTCTCCCTTAGGGATCTTATAAAATTGCAGCCAAGTGGAGCATGTTTGACAGTGTAAGATTTATTAGTGCTGAGACACCCCAGAGTTGAAGTGTCTCTAAGGAGGTGAGTCTAAAGACACAAAGGTTGGCCAGTCTCAAGACACTGGGTTGACGAGCTCTTTTAGGGTCCATCCTACATCTCTGTGTCCTGCCCTGGCATGTAATAGTTGTGTAATATGTGCTCATAGTACCTTGTGCTGGCCTGACAGAAGCCTGCTTCAAGGTGGTTGATAATCCAGGGTTCATTCCCAGCACCCATGTCAGGGACATGACTTTTGTTCCCCAACTAATCTCACCACTTTCTGCAGGATTTGGCACCAAGCTCTTTCCTTATTCCCTGGAGTCACTCCAGAACTCTTCTTTACTTCCTCAAGGGTCTCCCTGTGCAAATGGACAGAGGGTGGAAGAGGGTGGAGGGTGTGGAGGATCAGAGGGTGAAGAAAGATGATGGGTGTTGGTCTGTGACTTTCTTTCTCCCTGTAAGATGGTGATGATAGCCAAGCATCATTCCATCCTTTTTGTGTATTGTCTTACTCAATTTTCACAAAAACCCTGTGAGGCAGTTGTAATGATCTTCATTTTATGGGTAATAAAACTGCAGCACACAAACAGATTAACTTCCCAGTCAGTCTGGCTCCAGAGTTCATGTTTGTTTATTTATTTGTTGTCAACTTTTTATTATGGAAGTTTACAAACATATAAATCTGGAGACAGTTGTCAGTGAACCTTTACGCACCCATCATCCAGTTTCAGCAGTTGCCAACTTAAAGCCAACCTTGTTTCATCTATACACCCAACCCCCACAACTCATATCAATGAATTATTCTGAAGCAAAGCCCAAACATCCCATCATTTCATTGAACCTATTAGTAGGTGTCTCTTAAAAAGTAAAGACTCTTTAGTTAGCTTTTTAAAAATAAACTTTTTTACTTTGGAATAATTTCAGACTTACAGAAGTCAAAAGACAGTAGAGAATTAATTCCTGCCTAGCCCTCATCCATTGTCCTCTATTATCGTCTTCCATTGCCAGAATACATTTTTCAAAACTAAGAAACTAACATGGGTACATTATCATTAACTACTCTCTGGACTTCGTTGAATTTTACTGTTTTTTACACAAATGCCTCCTTTCTGTCCTAGCATCCCATCCAGGAACATGTTACATTTAGTCATCATGTCTCTTTAGCCTCCTCTGGTCTGTGACAGTCATAGTACTTGGGAGTTTTTCTCAGACTTTACTTGTTTTTTATTACCTTGAAAATTTTGGAAGATTTTTTGTAGAGTGTCCCTCAATTTGAGTTTGCCTACTGTCTTTCTTTTGGGTAGACTGGAGTTATGGTTTTGTTTTGTTTTGTTTTGAGACTGGAGTCTTGCTCTGTCGCCCAGACTGGAGTGCAGTGGTGCGATCTCGGCTCAGTGCAACTTCTGCCTCCCAGGTCCAGGTGATTCTCTTGCCTCAGCCTGCCGAGTAGCTGGGATTACAGGCACGAGCCATCACACCCAGCTAATTTTTGTATTTTTAGTAGAGACAGGGTTTCATCATGTTGGCTAGGATGGGTTCAATCTCGTGATCCGCCCGTCTTGGTCTCCCAGAGTGCTGGGATTACAGGCGTGAGCCACCGCACCGGCCTCAGAGTTATGGGTTTTGGGGTAAGTATATCACAGAGGTAAAGTGCTCTCTTTATCATATGATATTGGAGGGCTTTTTGATTCATTTAACATAACCACACCCTTAAAACAC